GGGGGGGGGGGGTGAGAAGACCCTTTCTATTGTCGTAGGGATGGGATGGGCAAAGCTGGCACTTAGGCATGAAGACCAGGGATGCTAGACGTGTGCCTTCCACTGAAGGCCATGCATGTCCCATGAGAGACAACCCCACACATAGAACTGTCTCCCGGCCAACCTGGACTAAAAATGTCCCCTGGGTGAGAATGCAGGTGAAAATTCAACTTACAATTCTCCAGCTGGCCAACCTAACTCCATGTTATATATAAACCTAAAGCGGGTTTGTTTCCAAACAGGTTTAAAACACAGTGAATTTTCTAGGAATGCTACTATTAGAAAATCAAGAGATGATTATATTTTGTTTTGCCTACAAAGCCTGCAAGGGTTGTTCAGCCTTTCAGAAACCTGCATCACCGAGAGTTCAAATCCTGACTGCACCTCTCACTACCTGCCTGATGTTGGACAAATTACTCTCTCTCTGCCTCTATCCCCTCATCTCCAAACTGGAGATACTAACACTCTGTTATAATAAGGATTATAATAAAGATGAAATGGGTTTGGCCACACAGAACACTTGGAAGGATAAACACTCAAGGCATGTCAGGCAATGATATCATCACAATGATGACACTGAATTGAAAACAGTGTTTTCCATGGTTTCACTCATATAAAGAGAGACAGACTCACAGGTAGAAAGCAGGTAGACAGCTCGGATGGGGTGGGGGGGCGCAGAGGGATTGGGCAAAAAAGAAAAAAAAGAGAGAGAACTCATGCAGGGGTGGGAGAGTGGAGGAAGAGGGCAGAGAGGGATAAATGGTGATAGAAAAAATTAAATTAAAAAAATTAAGAATACACAGTGTTTTCCACTGTACCACAATGACCACAAACAAATATTTTTAGGCCCTTCCCGCACGCCCTGGCAACATGCTTTACTCTGTGCGGCATAAGCAGCAGGGTTCCTGCCTGTCTTCACAAAACTCTCAACTTTGAGAAAGGCTGTTAATGCCCCAAACAAGGGAAAACAAGGCAGTGTATGCAAAGTGCTGAGGCTCTCAAGGATGCTACATGATGCAGGTAGGCCAGCAGTAGTTAAGAGTGACAGTGGTCAGAAAGGAGATATGCATGGTCCTGAGTAACAAGGAGGAAGAAGTCCTTGAGCTGAGGCGAGACCTGAGAAGGCTGTGACCACAAAGTGGTTACTTAACATCTCTGAGCTTTTTTCCTCCACTGGCCAACAGAGTCAATAATCACAACACTTAACACTTACTGAACATTTACTTTATAGCAGGTACGATTATAAGCACTTGGCATGTATTAAGTCATTTAATTCTCCAAACAATCTAGGGGGTGAAAAGTGTTTGCTACATTTATTATCCCACTTTACAGATGAGAAACTAAGGCCCTGAGATGTTAAGTAATAACCTACCCAGGTTGCAGAGCTAGCACATGATTTAGGTATCCTGCCTCCTTGTTGGGCTGTTGTTAGGCATAGATTATCAAGTTCAAAAGACAGAACACATAGTAGGTGCTCGTTAAATGGTAGTCATTACTAGGAACGAAAGGGCCCTGGGG